TATGAATCTCAAAATTTGATGAGACAATCTAATTAAAAAAATTATGTATTTATATTAGAAATACAATTTTATAAACCCATATTTTAAAAATACTACATATGTATATAAAGAAAAAATTCAAAAAATTATTATCATTACTAAAGTAATCACTTTGTTTTTTAATAAAGTAATGATGCCAAGTTTATACCAAATTATTTGGTTGCGAAGAAGAGTCCTATTTCTGAATTCGAACTCATTCTTAATTTAATCAAACGAAATATTTATTATCATTTATAAAATCCAGTTTTGATATTTATATAAAATATATAATTAAGTATAAGAATAGAATAATATATATGAATTAGTTTATTTAAAAATAAATATATCCTTTCTATTAAAATTTGATTATATTTAATAATTTTATTTCTAGTATTTAGAGGCTTTTATTTTAATGGCATTTTTAGAACGAAAATCATTAATAAAATATTGTATGATTTTAAGACAGTAGTATTGAAGGTAATAGAAATTGAATATTACTTTAAAAGATAGCATTTCAATACATAAATGAATTCTAATGAATCACAAGAAAAGCACTGTGATTCTCGCATAAATCAACTTTATCATTATACAACTAATATTTAGTTAAATGTAATTGGAAATTTGAAATTTAGAATACAAATTTCAAAAAATATATTATTATTACCAACGCCTAATCTATTTTTAAATACATAAATTAACTTTAATTTTTGGAATCCTAGCATTGCTACCTATTAAAGTTCTTTAATGGAAAGCCAACAGAGGTAGTGATTATATACCTTTATATAGTTATATATTTGTACTTCAACAATTGAATTATTTTATATAAAAAACTCAACTTAGTCTTGCCTTCCTCTCTCTACTTACATTTTTTTGATTTCTCCATTATCATGAGTGGATATAATCGGTTATTATATAATTCAAAATTATTAATTAAAATATGATGTGGTGGTCTAGGTGCATATTTATGTATATTTAAAAGTATGTGAAATATCATTATTTTATCAAAGTTATAATTTTTAGGAAAGGGTAAGTTTAAAAAAATAGTTTTTTCCGATAATCTTTGAATATAAATTTTATTAGTTCATTATTCATTTAGAATAATAAATTGATTCCAAATTAAAATATGACCACAATAAATATCAATTATACAATATATACATAAAAAAAGAAATCAAATGAGATAAATTTCATAAGCAGTATTAAATTTCTAAAAGAAATTAGTTAAATCAAAATTATTGAAAATTATTAACAATAAATTGCCTTAATTTTCAACCACTAGAAGAGAGCAATTAAAATTATTAAAATTATTAGCAGAAACCATTCTAAAGGGTTAAAAATATATTATAAATCCATTTATAATTTTTATATAAATCTCTTCTTAAATAGCAAGATAAAGGAAGGATAAAATTATTCAATAAATTTAAAAACTATAAAAGATAAATAAAATTTAACTTACACCTATAAAAATCGTATTATCAGATAATATTCAAATGATTTTAACTTATTTATTAATATTATTATTCATTTTCGATTGTTAAGAAGGCAAGGTGGCTAAATCTGCTGAATATTTTTTTATACCCAAGTTCCTTCTTTTTTACTTCTTTTTAAAATCTCTCATAAATGAGTTATTCACCTTAATGAAAATTATCACTCAACTCAATCCACCTTCCAACCTTTATTTCACCTTCTTCATCATATAATCCACCTCCACTAAAAAAGATTTTATTAATACATACATTTATTTATTTTCAACAAATTTGAAATAAATATCCCACCTACCAACTTTTTTCCCATTTCTATATTCACCATTATATGTGACTTATCTATCAACTTCAAAAACATTACTCACCTCAATCCATCTTCCAATCTTATATAACCCTTCCTCGTCATATAATCCACCACCACTAAAGTTTACTTAAATTTTTACATTAAATAATTTTTATTAATATTAAAGAAATAAATATCCCATCTTCCAACTTTTTTACCATTTCGATATTCACCATTATATGTGATTTGTCCATCATGTTCACTCCACTCAACCCACATCCCAATTTTATATAAACCATCTTCATCATATGATCCGCCACCACTATAATTTGTTTCTTAATATATACATTAAATATTGTTTATTAATCTTATTGAAATAAATATCCCATCTTCCAACTTTTTTGCCATTTCGATATTCCCCATGATATGTGACTTATCTATCCTGTTCATAACAATCACTTAATTCAATCCACCTCCCAATTTTATGTAAACCTTCATTATCATATGATCCACCACCACTATCAATTTTATTCTAAATATTTACATTAATTTATTTCCTTTAAATCTGAAATATATATTCCACTTACCAACTTTGTTTCCATTACAATACTCCCCTTCATAAATTACTTGACTATTTCTAATCATATCTAATAGTTAAATGTAAGTACAGTCTAAAGTTTTCACTCAGCTCAATCATATTATCCTCCACCACTAATGTTTAATAAAATTTTATTTATTATATTGATATACATTTATTCTAATCCATAATAAATTCCAATCTACCAACTTTCTTATCGCATTAGTACCTACCGTTGTATGTAATTTGGTTCCATCTGAAATCATAATATTTTTTCATTATATAATTACTTATGAAAGTTTTCACTCAACTAGATCCATTGTCCATTTCTTAGTCCATCTCCTTATTAATCATAAACCCCGCCCCCATTTAAAATTTTTCATAAAACGATTAATTAATACATGTATATAGAATTTCCGACTTCCTGATAATAAATATCCCATTAACCAACTTTTGTACCTTTTTTATATTCACCATGTAATGTAACTTAACTCTAACTAATAAACTAAACAAAAAGGTTACTACTTCCAAAAAGTATCACTTAATTCAATCCATTTTCCGTTCTTAACAGCAAATTCATTGTATGATCCTTCACCACTAAAAGAATAAAATATTAGAATAACATTTCTTTATCATTATAGATAACCTTCCATAGACCTGTTTTCACATTATTAAAATAACTTCCAATTTCATAAGCTTAAGCAGAACTATTATTATTAAAATATTGATATTTTTACTTCTAATAATTTTTTATGATTTCCTTCCATTATCCTATCTTTTATCCACTATCTGAGTACTATCCTCCAACATCTTTTAATAAATTTCCATTCCATGTCATAGTCCACTTACCAATCTTCTTTATATTTTCTTAGTATTCTCCTTACCATTAACAATATTTTATCTATTCCATATTGACCCAAAATTATGGGTTGTCTTAAATATTTGTAAAATCATCTCTAAAAATTAATATAATCCAAATTATTACATTCTATGAATAGATCCATCAATAGTAGTGTATTTAATGCCTCCTTTAGTTACCTTTATCTAAAATTTAGTCTTAATTTGTTTTGGATATGTGTAAGTCTCATCCCACACTATACTTTCAAATTCTTATGTGCTTATTATTGTCTCACATAGTGGCGAGAGTTATTGATTCCTACATTTTAAGTATCAATATTAAATCTTACTACGGTTTAGAATCCAAATCCTACATTAATTAAGGGGAATCTGTTGAAGAATTCATCATCATATTAAAATTAATACTAAATTCCATCTATTTTTACAATTTTAAACTATTTTTTTATAATGTATCTTATTTTTATTATTAAAATAAAATTTATGTNATCATCATATTATCCACCACCTCTATAAAATACTTTTTATATTATGATATTACATTTATTCATTATAGTATTTTATATCCCATTTACCAACTTTTTTACTATTTTTATATTCTCCATTATAAGTCACTTATTTAGAATTCTCAAAATTATCATCTAAATCAATCCACTTGCCAATCTTAAATTCCTCCCCTACTTCATTATATGATCCACCACCACTATAGGATACTTTTTCATAAAATTATTTACATTGTAGAATATCCTTAATTGATATCCTCCTTTTATAAAATTTCCCATCTTCCAACTTTTTTACCATTTCGATATTCACCATTATATGTGATTTGTCCATCATGTTCACTCCACTCAACCCACATCCCAATTTTATATAAACCATCTTCATCATATGATCCGCCACCACTATAATTTGTTTCTTAATATATACATTAAATATTGTTTATTAATCTTATTGAAATAAATATCCCATCTTCCAACTTTTTTGCCATTTCGATATTCCCCATGATATGTGACTTATCTATCCTGTTCATAACAATCACTTAATTCAATCCACCTCCCAATTTTATGTAAACCTTCATTATCATATGATCCACCACCACTATCAATTTTATTCTAAATATTTACATTAATTTATTTCCTTTAAATCTGAAATATATATTCCACTTACCAACTTTGTTTCCATTACAATACTCCCCTTCATAAATTACTTGACTATTTCTAATCATATCTAATAGTTAAATGTAAGTACAGTCTAAAGTTTTCACTCAGCTCAATCATATTATCCTCCACCACTAATGTTTAATAAAATTTTATTTATTATATTGATATACATTTATTCTAATCCATAATAAATTCCAATCTACCAACTTTCTTATCGCATTAGTACCTACCGTTGTATGTAATTTGGTTCCATCTGAAATCATAATATTTTTTCATTATATAATTACTTATGAAAGTTTTCACTCAACTAGATCCATTGTCCATTTCTTAGTCCATCTCCTTATTAATCATAAACCCCGCCCCCATTTAAAATTTTTCATAAAACGATTAATTAATACATGTATATAGAATTTCCGACTTCCTGATAATAAATATCCCATTAACCAACTTTTGTACCTTTTTTATATTCACCATGTAATGTAACTTAACTCTAACTAATAAACTAAACAAAAAGGTTACTACTTCCAAAAAGTATCACTTAATTCAATCCATTTTCCGTTCTTAACAGCAAATTCATTGTATGATCCTTCACCACTAAAAGAATAAAATATTAGAATAACATTTCTTTATCATTATAGATAACCTTCCATAGACCTGTTTTCACATTATTAAAATAACTTCCAATTTCATAAGCTTAAGCAGAACTATTATTATTAAAATATTGATATTTTTACTTCTAATAATTTTTTATGATTTCCTTCCATTATCCTATCTTTTATCCACTATCTGAGTACTATCCTCCAACATCTTTTAATAAATTTCCATTCCATGTCATAGTCCACTTACCAATCTTCTTTATATTTTCTTAGTATTCTCCTTACCATTAACAATATTTTATCTATTCCATATTGACCCAAAATTATGGGTTGTCTTAAATATTTGTAAAATCATCTCTAAAAATTAATATAATCCAAATTATTACATTCTATGAATAGATCCATCAATAGTAGTGTATTTAATGCCTCCTTTAGTTACCTTTATCTAAAATTTAGTCTTAATTTGTTTTGGATATGTGTAAGTCTCATCCCACACTATACTTTCAAATTCTTATGTGCTTATTATTGTCTCACATAGTGGCGAGAGTTATTGATTCCTACATTTTAAGTATCAATATTAAATCTTACTACGGTTTAGAATCCAAATCCTACATTAATTAAGGGGAATCTGTTGAAGAATTCATCATCATATTAAAATTAATACTAAATTCCATCTATTTTTACAATTTTAAACTATTTTTTTATAATGTATCTTATTTTTATTATTAAAATAAAATTTATGTATTATATAAAAACTTTTAATTTTATAATTATCATTACGCAAAATAAATTTACCTTCAAACTTTAATTTTGTTGATTATTCATATTCTTTTGCTTATGTGCTTCTTGCTTTAAGTACTTAATTTAATTTTCTTTTAGTTTTAATTTATTTCTTATTCATTTAATATATGAAGATTTTAATTATTTTTATATAAGTTAAAATTTCTACATCTTCTTAATTGCTATCTTTTAAGAAAAAAGAATAAAGCTTTGTGATCACATTAATGATTGCAAGTAATTTCTTTGAAAGTGAAACAATACACAGAACATTTAATTTAAATGCAATTAAGATTAATCATAATAATAATGCAGTTTTATCACTTATCAGCACTTGTTTAATGTAAAATAATCATAAAAATATAGAATTCCGAAATCATCTTGAACATACCTTTTTTGATAACAATGAAATAATTGATCTAATGATTTATATTAAATAAAATTTATTTAAATGTCTTGGTCACCTTTAATAAAAGAAATGAAACCATATTAGACATAATAAGTTTTGTATGATAATAATCTATATGATTATGTTAAATATAAGGATATACAAGGTATAACTAACATTTAGTCATATTAAATCGACAATATTTATACTCATTAAGATATTTATATTTCTTTAATATTTATTTAATGTTTCTGCAGTTTCTTTATTTTAAATGCTTGGGAATTTTTGTTGAGGCATAATATATTTAGAATTTTGTCACTTCTTAAATTTCTAATAACGAAGGTCAATATTTTAATATTAATTTAGGATGGACAGTCGTAAATCCTTATAATGGAGCAACTAATAATATTACTAATTGTGGAGGAAACATCATTTTTGGAGGATACCAAGTTTTTGGATGCACTTCACCAGCAATACCTTAAGTAACTTAGGTGTTGAAATATTTTATTCTGCCACCTCATTATAATTTACGTATTAATATCAGATACTGGAAGTTTTAATATTATCTTATATTAAGAATTGATGATTGGCCAACCTCCCAATACTTTTATATATTTGCAGATTAATGGGTCCAAAGTTGGTATGNCATACAGCCAAAAATAAAAGGTTTAATAATTCATTATTAGAAATATAAATGCAATATATAAAAATATAAATGTAACATATAGAAATGAATAATGGAGATTTTAATGGATCTATCCGGATACTCTGGTGTTGATGATGGGAAATTTTATAATTGGAATAATCAATCGGGACATAATAGAAGTCCCTATGTTAAGTAACATAATGAGATCTAACCACTATATTACATGTGGATTATATCCAATTTAAGGGGTACACCAGTGTTAAGTCTAATTGACCTTAAGGAATGAATGAATATTATCATAAATAAATAAATAAATAAAATAAATAAATAAATTATTGCTTTTATTAGTAATTAATATAATTAAAAACTAAAAAATTATTTTGATTTAAATTTAGTTTCCTTCTTTTCTAATTTAATAAGATAATTAATTGTTTGATTACCTGAAGAAAGCTAAAATGCTCTAAATTAGTATATCGCTTTTTATGGATTTATAGTATTTTAATAGTTTCGTATTTTAGATCCTTAAGGATAAGGCAAATTTTGATCAATATCTCATGAATAAAACACAAATCATTCTAAAATGAAGATATAAATAGAATTTATTGTATTAATACTTCATTTGCATTTATGAGAATCAAGAATGAAAACATTAATTAGAGAACTTGTTAACATAATTATATGATTTAAAAAATTCTTTAAATTAATTATTGTATTTATCAACAATTTAAAATAAATATTAACTAGGATTATTAATAGACCGAAAATTTAAAGAAGAAAAATTAAAGAAAAATAAAATTAGTAATTGTGAATTATTTAATTCATTATTTATAAATGAGATAAAAAATCATCCATACTTTAATGCTATACTATAAATTATAATGATAGATATTTTATTTTTCTAAATTTTAGGTATATAATTAATATCAATTAAAATAAAATTAAAATCAGTAGAAATGGTTGAAAGCCAACAAACTAATAATTTATAAACAAGAAAACCATTTAGTTAACAATATATCATTTCTTTAATACTTTTTTTCCATCATTTATAATTAATTTGCATTCATATAATTACTTTTTGTTTAATAATAAATTGACTATTGGAAAAGCGTTCTTCTTATGTTTATTGAATAATAGATCATGATTAAAATTGAATAACTTGTATTTACATATACTTTATTTTACTGTTATTTCTATTTAAATAGAAAAAGATTTTTGACATTATAAAATCTTTAACTTGGATTTTGAGTCTAAAATCAAAAGGTTTTGATTGATGTTTAATTTTTAAGAAATTCATTTAATAAATTGAATTACAAAAAAACTAATGTAATTCAATGAAAAAAAAATATTAAATTAAATTAAATTAAATTAGAAACTGTTTATGATTTTGAAATAAAGGTGTTAATAGAAAGATGTGATTTAAGTAACAGAATTTCGATTATCATAATTCAATAATTCCTAAAAAACTCTAAAAACTTAATACTTTCAATATTTATTTTATAATGAATTAATTTTTTACTTAAAAATAATGCCAAATAATTAAATTTTTGGTATTAAATTCTTTTTTTCATTAAAATTCAAAATGACAACAAAATAAGATGTAATTATAGTTAGAAATAGCATTTTTTAATTGTCTTATTTTAATATATTCAAATCAATATACTTCATATACCTCTAGTTCTGTTATATTTGGAGTTAACGATCCAAATAAATGTATCTTCTGATCATTTTATTTATATTAGTCGTCCCAATAATACGTTTCTCCCAAATATGAAGAGCCATTCTAAAAATTTGAATCAATAACTAAATCTCTCCCAAAAGCTAATCCATTATTAGCAGAACAACAAATTGCATAAAATTTTTAAGCTTATTTTAATGGATAGATTTAATCATGAGTTTATGAAAATATAAAAGATGATAGTGAATCATCATTTATAGACTAACTTTTGTATTATTATTATTGCCATTTACATGGAGAAAATCCACCAAAAATATATCCACTTTTCGATTTAAATATCATTAATAAATTTGAATTTCCATTCAAATTATTCCAAAAGCTTTTATATTTAATCCATCTCTAGCACTCAAAAATTTATCATAGCATTTATGTACTATTTTATCTAATTTAGATTAAATTGTATATATTATTTTTTATCTTTAATAATTTGACAATAATTTAGTTGGCAATATTTCCTTTAACTTTTTTAAATTGTTAAAATTAATCATAGTAATTTAATTTCCAAATTTAATTTAACTTTATTTAAACTATTAATTTAATAAATCTAATTCTTTATATTTAGAGTAATTTTCTTTATGTTATTATTATTATTATTATTTTTATTCATTGGGATCCCCTTGTTATATCTAGATTTCTTTTAACATAGATATTAAATTTGAATTTAATTCTTCAGAATCTTTTTATGTAAGATCTTATAGATATTGTTAGAGAAGCTTTTCACTTTATTCTATAGCTTAAGGATTTATTGTATCTCCCAATTTTTCAAGATCCATAATTAATTATGTAAATTAATCAAATTTAGTAATCTATTATTTTTTAATTATTACTTTTTTCAATTGATCTTTAATTTTTTATTTCATATCTAGGAAATTATTTAAGTTTTATTCTATTTCTTCATAAACATCTTCTAGCTATTTTTAAATCTTGGTAATTTAATATTTCAAATCTATAAGAACACCATTCATTTATTTATCATTCTATTTATCTAAATCAGTCAAATATTCCTTAACCTCAGAAGACAAATTCAGCTTAGATAGGAAATATTCAGGTGACTTTAATGCCTTACATATTATATAATGAAATAATACATTCTTGATATGGATTAAGTCTTATAATGTACTTGATTCTAAACCTATAAAACATTCATCACAGACATATTCTGTTTTATTTTTATCAAATCTAATAAATAAAATTTATTATCCTTCATGTTTATAACATGGAATTTTCATTTTCTATTAAAATTATTTATAAAATAAATATGGAATTTTTTGTATAATAATTTAAAAATTATTATCTTTTTAATTCTAAATTTTTTTTAATTTTTAATTAATGTAAATTTATCTTTTCTTTTTTATATTAATATCAATCATATTTTAAGTTTTACAGAAAAATATAAATATGAATTTGATGATAGAAGCCAAACCATTTGTTTTAATTTAAGAAAAGGAATTTTGAGTATTATTGGTATTATTTATACTATATAATAATAACTAGATGATAAGTAAATAAATTTTAATGTCCCAAACAATGAAAACTTTATCGAATCTATCAATTGAATATAATTACTTCATAAATAAATATATATATGCTAATTTGCTAACGTCATATTTTACTTTTTATTTTAAAAATAAAATGATTACAACAGATGAACATAAGAATTTGTTTTCAAAAACTTTTAATGATTTAAAATCCTTATTTTATAATTATATTAATTTTCTATTAGATACATAAAAATTAAATAAGTCAGTTAGACAACTTTCATTTGATAAATGTTTCCTAATAGATTATAAAATATTTTTATACTAATCTAAAGTGTCTTGAATAACTATTATTAATATAATCTTTTTATTGATGTATTATGTTCAAAATTATTTGAGATTTTGATTTACTTGAATTTTTAATTTTATCACAAAAAAAAGAGACATGAAAATATTAAATTAAATTATAATAAGATTAACTTCTTATTTGTTAATATGTTCATTGAATTCAAAATAGTATTACATAAACTATTAAAATGACATACTATTTTTTAATTGATTTTCAAAAACTTATTAATCATTAAATCTATAATTAAATTTTCAATCATATTGAAATAGTATAATAGCCAAATAAAATGAGAATTCGGCAAAAAATTAATGAAGGTTAGAATTGCTAGAATATTGTAAAATCTGATTATTTTGTGATAATCAAATGTTTAAACAATGGATCCATTTAGGAAAGAAGTTTAAAGAATAACAATATAGCATTCAAAAATTAGAAAATAAATCAAAAAGCTGAAATCATTAATAAGGTTATAAGAAACTTTAAATTGAGGGTTAATAAATATACCAATAAACTGCCATGACAGGATTACCATATACAAAACCAATTAACTTTATTAACTTATAATAATTGTAAACTGCAAATAATTGTAAATTTAGAGATGAATATAATTCATTAATGTATTATACTATGACTTGAATAAAAGAGGAAAATTTAATCGACTTTTTTAATCATTTTTTTCTAATTTAATTATTTAACATATTTAGAATTTATTCATTAGGAAAATTATACAATTTATTTTTCAACTCTTAAAAATTAATTATATATATTTAATAATGTTAGTACAATAAATATATTATTATTATTTTAATTAAAAAATTACTTTCATAATTTTTGTTAAATTCCCCCTGCAAATTATAAAAATATATATTAGTTTAATAAAATAACAAAATTTTCTTTGTTTTATAAATGATACATATAATTTTGATAGTTATTTCTGAATGTAATCCTACTATATTTAAATTATTAAGATTGGTGTACCCTTTTATTTTAATCATTTAGGATTAATGCAAATAGAAAGAGCCATATCAAAAATTTAGACAGCCTCTTTAATGTTCTTTAATTTATGTATTCACATATAGTTTTTATAGAGAATTAGTTTGAATAAAGTAAATTACCCTTATTATTCC